CTAGTTTTGATACTTTATGGGAGTTTCAAAACTATGACCCAAAGTTTTGAAACTCTTGAAAGAGTTTCGATACTCCTACCCAGAAAACATGATTTTACCAGAAACGAAGAACAAGTATCGATACTAACCCTATAGTATCGATACTCTACTTGTAAAAGTCATAAAACAAGCACGAAAAACTCTATTTTTCAATCCCAAAGACCCTAGTGAGGTCCAAAACATTATTAAAGTCTTATGTGATATTAAGGGAGCATAAATAAGGTTTAGAAATATACTGAAACATTAAACATAAAATCTACCATGGAAAGCTACTAAACATGATTTATATCAACTTTCTAGCTTAAACTCCTTTCTAATAATTCTATAACTGAAATGAAAAAGCTAATAGTGTGTTACCTGGATTCTTTGGATGCTAAAACCTCTCTCAACAACTAGAAATTCACCTTTCTTTTACCCTTGGCTTTTGGACTCTCTTCAACCTCTTTCACTAACAAGGTATAAAAATGAGTTATTTACTCAAATAGAGGTTGTATAAAACTTAAATGCATTCCTTATAACTCAAATCCTTTCCTAAAATGGCTTGAATCATTTGATTCCTTAAAATCCATAAAAAAAACCCATTTCATAAATCTTAACCTAAAATTAAGAACTTGAAATGAAGCTTGAGAGAAGGAGAATAAGAGTCTTACCTTGGTGGATTCAAACTAAGCTTGAAATTCCTTAAAGCTTGATCTTAGCTAAGTAGAAGAAGAGTTTGGAGAAGAAGAAAATGAGAAGATATTTTGGGGGAATGACTCACGTGAAAAATAAGGGAGATAAGGGGTTTTTAACATTTAAAACAAGCTGCGGGTAAACTAAATTTTTAGTCATTCTCCCTTTAACTCATTTTTTTTAAAAAACACCATTATCCTTTAACTATTGGGCCAACCTAAGCCCAATACCCTTTTTGAACTGGTCTAACTATCTTAAGAGGTCTAACTAGCTTGACTTACGAGTTTCTAGTTTACCCAAACTACTGACCCGGGTTCCGGGGCATTACAACTCTCCCATCCTAATAGAAAATTTTGTCCTTGAAATTTCGAAAGAGATATACTACTAATCTCAACTTCTAGGACATCTAACTCTAAGGGCTGGTTACTAAGTCAACTTTGACTGTTACTGGAATAGGAAATATGGTAAGGTTACTTGAGATCTCATTAGCTGCACCCTTCTCCTCCTCCTTCTGAGCTCTAATTGCATACTGACGGGCTGCAACTATAGTCTCTCCATTAACTCTTGACTGAACTATAGCCCTACCAACCTAAACAGATGAACTTACTCATCTCTGAAATCTTTCACGCCTCTGGACTGTCGGAGCTGACTGTTGGGTCGAAGGTGGAACTACACTCTGAGCTTCTGGGAAATCTCAGAGAAAATGATCTAAAGACCCACAGCGGTAACAACCTTGATCCCCAAACCTATAAACTCCTGGGTGCTTCCTACCACAGCGTGAACAAGTAGGATGAGAATACATTCTTGACGATCCTTCAGCACTAGCTACTGGTGCAGTAAACAATGGTCTCCTACGTTGACTGGTCCTACTCCCTCCTCCGCTAGCACTCTATGTTGATCGGCTAGACTGGCCTACCATGGCACTCTTATGCTCCTGAGATTTTCTCGACCTCTTAGATGACTGACTGATTCTACTGACTCTGTCATTTCTCTGTCATGACCTGATGTGGTATATTCTTCTTATGCTCTCTTGCCACAACTCTCTCTACTACATTTTCCTGATGAACTAGCTCGGCAAAGACTTGTGGTGGATTGACAGCTATGTAAGTCAATATATCCAACCGAAGACCTTTTCTGAACTTTCGACAACAATGATACTCAAACGAAACCAACTCTGGGGCATATATACTAAGCCTGAGGAACTTTACCTCGTACTAAAATACTAACGTGTCCCCTTGATTCAATTTAGCGAAACGATTCATCATTGCATTCATGTGGGTTTCTCCTATATACTTTCGGCGAAACTCATCTAAAAACCAGTCCCAGGTGGGTCGTTCGAGCTCTAACAACATCTCTACTGTCTCCCACCAATCAATCGTGTCACCTTTCAGCAGCGAGATAACACACTCCAACATTCCCTTAAGAGTAAGATGTAACTGACAAAGGGTTTTAAGGGTTTCCCTTAACCACTGGTATGTTACGATTATATCATCATCCCCTGATCCAAAGAATTCAGTGGTCTGATATCTTCGGAGCCTCTCTATTGGGGTTTCCTGAGGTGCTACAACTGGAGGAACATGATGTATTGGCTGGGCAGATGGGATAGAAAGTGCCTGAGGAATAACTCTAACAATCCGCTCTAAGGTAGAGGTTAAATTCCTAAAGAATGCAACCTCATCAATTCCTGCGTCTCCAGGTTCTATATACTTGGAGTATGGGATGAATTCATCTCCTGAATCACTAATTAAAAGAGCTATACTCTCATCTCGACCCTCTCTACTATGATCTGAGTTTCTGTCCATCTCTAAAACTCTAAAATTAAGAGGTAACAAAGAATTACTATCACTATTGCAGATATAGAAGTATGACTTAACTCTTTAGGGGCATGTATACATATAAACTCTTTACTGATACTGACCCACGACCCCCAGAAACGTCAATCCTGACGCTCTAATACCACTAAATGTAACACCTTATACCAGTACGACACACAGTCGACCGATTTAAGGTGCTACACGAAACCACCGAAGTGACTGACCAACTTTTTCTTACTTTATTTAAATATAAAATAACTGTAAAATAAACTGAATAATAACTAAAATCTTTACATTGGGGAGCTCCAAATTAAAATATTTACATTTTACAAAAATGATACAGATCGCTCTACTAAAACTATGACTCGACTGGACAATAACATTTACAAATATATGCCCTTTAAAAATGTTGAGACATACTCTGAATCTGTACTGGTCTAAACTGGGTTTTGGTCTATCTACTGCTCCTAACCTACTGGATCTACTGACCTGCCCACAAAAACAATTCGAATGCTGAGCTAACTAGCTCAACGACATACTAATAGCTGAAACATACTAATTGTATATCATTAAAATTCTAGCTATGAAGTCTACTGATCTGATATGCTTATTGAATATTCTTGTAATACTCACTCTCTACGTTACTGTAGACATCATGGTGCGGTTCAGGGATTACTGTATCTCGGAGTTCACAAACCCTCTAGTTTATTAGGATATGGCCCCCAGAATTCTTCATCAGACACATATCCCTGACTAACCCACCCCTTGCGAGTGTTAGGCCTCAGCCTTAGTTAGTCAGTTTTAAAGACATTGCACCCTATCTAAGGATATATGGATTGCATCTATACTTTCGATTCCACTAGCTTTTCTAAAGAAACTTGGGTGTCCGAATCGTTTCCCAAGTATCAAACAAGGCTAGTCTTATTTGTCTCTAATTATTTGATTTCTAAGTTTGAATTAACATTAATAATGTTCCACTTGTAGTCTTATTTGATGATATAATGAAGTGTTTGGGTACCTCGTGTCTAAATCCCTCAAAAATTGACTTTTTTGCCCAAAATAATATGAAAGTATCAATACTAGCCCAAGAGTATCGATATTCCTGTAAAAGTTTCGATACTTTATATAAGTACCAATACTTTTAAACATTATGTTTTGCATAGTTTCGATACATTCTGGGAGTTTCGAAACTATGACCCAAAGTATCGAAACTCTTAAAAGAGTTTCAATACTCTACCCATAAAACATGATTTTACCTATAAATGAAGAACAAGTATCGATAATAACCCTATAGGATCGATACTCTACCTGCATAAGTCATAAAACAAGCATGAAAAACTATATTTTTCAATCATAAAGACCTTAAGAGGTCCCCAAACATTCTTAAAATCTTATATGATATTAAGGGAGCATAAATAAGGCTTAGAAACATGCTGAAAACATTAAATATAAAATCTACCATGGAAAGCTACTAAACATGTTTTATCTCAACTTTCTAGCTAAAAGTCCTTTATAATGATTCTACAACTAATATGAAAAAGCTAATAGTGTGTTACTTGGATTTTTTGGATGCTAAAACCTCTCTCAACAACTAGGATTTCACCTTTATTTTACCCTTGGCTTTTGAACTCTCTTCAACCTCTTTCACTAACAAGTCATAAAAATAAGTTATTTACTCAACTAAAGGTTGTATAAAACTTAAATACATTCCTTATAACTCAAATCCTTTCCTAAAATGGCTTGAATAATTTGATTCCTTAAAATCCATAAAAACTCATTTCATAAATCTTAACCAAAACCTAAGATTAAGAGCATGAAATGAAGTTTGAGATAAGGAGAATAAGACTCTTACCTTGGTGGATTCAAAATAAGCTTGAAATTCCTTAAAGCTTGATCTTAGCTAAGTAAAAAAATGAAGAAGAAGAGTCCGGAGAAGAAGAAAAATGGGAATATATTTTTGGGGAATGACTCACGTGAAAAATAAGGGAGATAAGGGGTTTTTAACCTTTAAAATAAACTACGAGTAAACTACACTTTTAGTCATTCTCCCTTTAACTTATTTTTAAAAACAACACTATCTTTTAACTATTAGGCCAACCTAAGCCCAATACCCTTTTTGAATTGTCCAACTATCTTAAGAGGTCTATCTGGTTTGACTTACGGGTTTCGGGTTGACTCGAACTACTGACCCGGGTTCTGAGGAATTACATTAGATCCTTTAAGTATGATCAAGAGTTTGAATTCTGACATTTACGAATGAAGCAAATTGAATTGGGAGGGTCATCCCATAATAGACCTCTCAAAACTTGATCCGAAATAGTAGATCAATGGATCGGATACTAATGATTAAACAAAAAAATCAAGACAAAATTAAAAATTGAAGCATAGTAAAGGGACGATAGCATAATTTAATCCTCTCGGGCCCATACATCCAAACAAGTGTAGCGGAGAAGTTGATAGAAGATAATAAGAGAGATAGAGGGTGTTTATTTAAGCCACATTTATCCTCTTTATTTGCTCTTAGGCCGACTATTTCCAGTAGATTAAAAGAAAAAGGAGGAAAAAATGGTCTCTTCTCTCTACAATTTCTAAAAGAAAATACCCCTTTTAGTATATTTCCCTCTCTTTTATCCATTTCAGCCTTTTTCTGTTCTTCTTCATCGCTTCTTTTAGGTGAGTTGTGGAACTTTTTCCTTCTTCTTGAGGTGTAATTTGACGCTTTCTCTTGGTTTCATGGCTTGTTTGATGTTTGGATCCCGTTTTAGTTTTGGGTTTTTGTTTAAAGACCTCGTTTCTTCTTGAAATCTGAATTAGGGTTTTGGTTCCGTGGCTTGTTGGATGTTGGGATTTTTGTTTAAAGAGACTGTTTCTTCTTGAAATCTGAATTAGGGTTTTGGTTTCAAGGCTTGTTGGTTGTTTGGATTTAATGGATTTTGTCGGTGTGAAAAGAAAATTGTTTTCTTTTCCCCCTTTTGTTGATTGCTGATGATAAGCCCACCTGTTCAAATTTGTATAATTTTACGGTGCTTTTTTTTTGGGTTTTTGGTTATTAAATTAAATATATGGAATGTACGAAGCTCTCTGTAATTTAAGCTCTTGGTTCAGTGTATTTCACTTGATAGATTCAAGGGTATTTCATGTTTTTTATTGGATTATTGCGCCTTAGTTTTATAGCATATATGCTTAATCAATTATTAATAGTTCTCGTGTTGTTAACTCTGTTGGAAGAAGTTATATTGTATTAGTTCGGGGTAAATCTATTGGGTTCATTTAATTTATAGCAAAATTTACATGTAGAGAAGATTTTGTGATTACTTTGTTCTGTTGCAGATAGCTTGGTAGGAGAGATGGCCAAACTTTTGGCTCAGTCGGCTGTTGTTCCTGCTCTAGTTTCCTGTCGAAGTCATGGTCCATCCAAACAATCTGGAAAATCGAAAAGGTCTGCTAAGATGATGTGCAGTTTAACAACACATGGATTGACTATACGTAGTTTCTCTGGGTTGCGTGGTTTGACTTCTTTAGGTAATATGGTCAGAGTCGGCCAAGATTTCCATTCTAAGGTTGCAATTTCAATCTCTTCTCGACGTGGTAGAGGAAGCCGATGTGTACCTAAAGCCATGTTTGAGCGCTTCACCGAGAAAGCGATTAAGGTAATCATGCTTGCTCAAGAGGAAGCCAGACGACTTGGTCATAATTTTGTTGGTACCGAGCAAATTTTGTTGGGCCTTATTGGTGAAGGTACTGGCATTGCCGCAAAAGTTCTGAAATCCATGGGAATCAATCTTAAAGATGCGCGAGTTGAAGTCGAGAAGATAATTGGAAGGGGCAGTGGTTTTGTTGCTGTGGAGATTCCATTTACTCCTCGTGCCAAACGTGTCTTGGAACTCTCGTTGGAAGAAGCTCGCCAACTTGGTATATCTTTATAGATAGCCTTTATACAACAGATTTTAAACTGTCATTTGGCTTTCATTTTTTTGTGTTGATTATTCATAGAACAGTCCTCTGAGTCATTTGCATGCTCTCCGGACTTGGAAAATTTACTTTGATTAACAGACAATTTCTATGTTATAAAATTTCAGGCCATAACTATATTGGATCCGAGCATCTTCTTCTTGGTTTGCTTCGTGAAGGTGAAGGTGTTGCAGCCCGTGTTCTTGAGAATTTGGGTGCTGATCCAAGTAACATCCGCACACAGGCAAGAAATGCCTTTATAAACTTGATCTTGTTTATATTTAGTTCAATTTTTTGTAATAATAAAACATAACTGGGGTTATCTTTTCTATTTGATTTACTAGGTTATTCGTATGGTTGGTGAGGGAAACGAAGTTAGTGTTGTTACAGGAGGATCAACTGGAAACACGAAAATGCCAACACTGGAGGAATATGGAACCAATTTAACCAAGTTAGCTGAAGAGGTAAGCGAATTTATCTGTTTGTCCTATCGTTTGGGTATTTTTATGTGCTTGTTTCTGAACTGGTTTTTCCTGTTTTAGGGTAAGTTGGATCCTGTTGTCGGAAGGCAGGATCAAATTGAACGTGTTGTCCAAATATTGGGTAGAAGGACAAAAAAACCCATGTCTTATTGGAGAACCAGGTGTTGGAAAAACTGCTATTGCCGAAGGCCTTGCCCAACGAATTGCTAGCGGTGATGTTCCTGAGACAATTGAGGGCAAGAAGGTGCATTCATTGTCTTTCAGCATTAAAAGCATTTTATTTTAGCTAAGGGGTTGAAAAAATTGACGTTAAGCATGCATCAATCTTGTACAAGTTGCATGTTAAATGTTGTGAATGTGTGTATAACATACATCACCGTGGGGCCGTTTTTCATTTTACCACATTAATAGTCATCAAAAGAAATATTTGGTTAGTGGTGATTTTAGCATGTAAAGTTTTAGAGGCTTTTTATCACTTTCATCAAATCTGAGATATCCTGAACTACAAGGTTTAGTCGAGAGCCAGTCAAAAGATGGTATTGTGTTATCGTCTTAATTTTTTGAGGGTATGAATTAACAAACAATGTCATTAGAATTTCCTTTTTACTGATTCTTCTTCCTCCTTTTCCATGACTTCGGAGTTGCAACCAATTTTGTGTGCTGGTTTATTAATTATCTACTTCCAGTTAGATCGTCACGTTTATGGTTGTTTTCTTATCAGGTTATAACTCTTGATATGGGTCTGCTTGTTGCTGGAACAAAATATCGTGGAGAGTTTGAGGAGAGATTGAAGAAGCTAATGGAGGAAATCAAGCAAAGCGATGAGATAATATTGTTTATCGATGAGGTTCACACTTTGATTGGAGCTGGAGCAGCCGAAGGTGCCATTGATGCAGCCAATATCTTGAAGCCTTCTCTTGCAAGAGGTGAATTGCAGGTAAATTTTGTTCTTACGGTCGGGTTTGTACGGTTGATTTTATATCCGGCTTCTATATGAATTATGTTAGGCCCGACCACTGCTCTGATTTTTGGAATTTTCTATTAAGCTTTGACAACTGTTGAATTTTTGTATTTCGTTAATGTGACTTTATTCTAAACAAATATGACAATTCTTTACTCTATCTGAATCAATGTAGTGTATTGGAGCTACAACACTTGATGAATACCGAAAGCATATTGAGAAAGATCCAGCTTTGGAAAGACGTTTCCAGCCAGTAAAAGTCCCCGAACCATCTGTAGATGAAACAATACTGATTTTGAAAGGCTTGCGAGAGCGCTACGAGATTCACCACAAGCTTCGTTACACGGATGAGGCCCTAGTTGCTGCTGCACAGCTGTCATACCAGTACATCAGGTACATGGTCGTCTTATTTTCATTGAGTTTCTTTGTAATTGCTTAGTGACTAAAAATGGAACTGCCATTTTTGTTCCTCACTCTGATTTCTGTATGGTCAGTGACCGTTTTCTACCTGATAAAGCAATCGACTTGATTGATGAAGCTGGGTCTCGTGTTCGCCTTCGGCATGCGCAGGTGTGTTTGTATAACTGTCCAGTCACGAGTGGCTCTTATAAGCCTTCGTTTCTAAAGTTGGTTTTTTGACATTGCTGTTGATACAGCTCCCCGAGGAAGCTAAGGAGCTTGATAAAGAGCTTCGGCAGATAACAAAGTCGAAGAATGAAGCAGTTCGTGGCCAGGACTTTGAGAAGGTACAGAATTGTTCAGTTTCTTGGAGTTATTTTATGCTGTTTTCTATGGAGGGGGCTTATCAGTTTTTTGCAAACCCACTTTTATTTGGCTTGACCCATATTGTAATACATCCTTTTAAACAGGCTGGGGAATTACGCGATCGAGAAATTGAGCTTAGGGCTCAAATAACTGCAATCCAAGAGAAAGACAAGGAGATGAACAAAGCAGAGGCCGAGGCAGGGGAAGGAGGGCCTGTTGTGACCGAAGCGGACATTCAGCATATAGTCTCTTCGTGGACTGGTATTCCCGTTGAAAAAGTATCAACCGATGAATCTGACCGTCTGCTTAAAATGGAAGAGACACTTCATAAACGAGTCATTGGTCAGGATGAAGCTGTCAAAGCCATTAGCCGTGCTATTAGACGTGCTCGTGTTGGTCTCAAGAACCCCAACCGCCCGATTGCTAGCTTTATCTTCTCTGGACCAACTGGTGTAGGAAAGTCGGAACTAGCAAAGGCACTGGCTGCTTACTATTTCGGCTCTGAAGAAGCTATGATCCGACTCGATATGAGTGAGTTCATGGAAAGGCACACAGTTTCCAAGCTCATAGGTTCTCCCCCTGGGTATGTTGGCTATACCGAGGGTGGTCAGCTAACCGAGGCTGTCAGGAGGCGACCATACACCGTTGTACTTTTTGATGAGATTGAGAAAGCCCATCCCGATGTTTTCAACATGATGCTCCAGATACTCGAGGATGGAAGGTTGACAGACAGTAAAGGAAGAACTGTGGATTTCAAGAATACTCTTCTGATAATGACATCGAACGTCGGAAGCAGCGTTATTGAAAAGGGTGGACGGCGGATAGGATTTGATCTTGATTATGACGAGAAGGACAGCAGCTACAACAGGATAAAGAGCCTGGTGACAGAAGAACTGAAGCAATATTTCAGGCCGGAGTTCTTGAACAGATTGGATGAGATGATCGTTTTCAGGCAGCTGACCAAGTTGGAAGTGAAGGAGATTGCTGACATAATGCTCAAGGAAGTCTTTGACAGGCTTAAAACCAAAGAAATCGAGCTTCAAGTGACGGAGAGGTTTAGAGAGAGGGTGGTGGAGGAAGGATACAATCCGAGCTACGGAGCAAGGCCTTTGAGAAGAGCCATTATGAGACTCCTCGAGGATAGCATGGCTGAGAAGATGCTTGCGAGGGAAATCAAAGAAGGTGATTCGGTAATCGTGGATGTGGACTCGGACGGAAATGTCACGGTTCTCAATGGTAGCAGCGGGACACCGGAGTCGTTGGAAGATCCGGTTCCGGCTGTGTAAAACCAAATAGAAAACCCTTTTTTTTTCTGGATAATGTTGTTTGTACTCTTTTTTTTTTTTGTTCTTTTAGATTCAACTGGCTAAAGACCGTATGCTGTCTGTTTCATTGAAAAGCACTACTTGGCTATGGAATAGTGAAGCTGTACATCTAACACTGAATTTGCATGTAGGCTGAAAGAGGATATGCTGGTGCTGGTGGTATTATGTTGTCAGTTTACTTCACAATAAAATGTACGCTTAAATTTGCTTTCATGGAAACACATTCAAATTCTGATTCTGACCCCATTGCCCTGGAATCAATCGATATTGTTTAAATAAAATTCGAGTTTGAGGTTTTGTATATGCGGTCTCGAGTTTGAGGTCTTGTATACGTAGTCTCGAGTTTGAGGTCTTGTATATGCGGAACATTCTTGTTAAGAGATTCACCATTTAAAGTCAGGTGTATGAGTCGGATGTGTCTGAATTAATTAGAGTAAAATCTAAAAAAACCGAGAAAACAAATAGAAAAAATCCTACTTAATTTGTAATTTCATTGAATCATAAAATTGACTCAAATAAACTTGACTAATTTGTATACTCATTTTTTTAGTTTTTTTTTAAAATTTAATTATAAATATTTATAATATTACGATATTATTTGATTCTAATTTAAATGATATTTTATAACCATAGTATATATATATATATATATATATATATATATATATATATATATATATATATATATATATATATATATATATGTGATATACACATATGATGTAAATTTGAGGGATTCGACTCAAACTGGAAAGTCAATTACTAAAAATTTTGAATTATTCGAGTTGTATTTTATAACTCGATTTGAATATGAAATTTGTCGAGTCAAGTTTATGAAATTACAACTTAAAGTCAATTCGAACCAAATTTTTTCATATCAAATCAAATAAAAATCAATTTTTCGAATCAAATTTCATAAAGAATATCTGAATCTTTTTCTCGAACGTTAGAAAGTGGAAGGGAGGGTGGTGGTTTGAAAGCAAGTAAAACACGTTACCTCATGGCTGGCGTCAATGGATTGATCAGAAGAGTCAAACATTCTCGAATTCTTACAATTTCCATGGAAGAAATTACGTTTTTTGTCCCCATAACTATGAAGAATTAGTCCTTTTGGGATGAGGAAATGCAAAATGTAGGGACGACATGTTGAACTACTACAGGTATTAGGACTGAAATCAGACTTTGACCAATTTGGATGAGTTGGCCAACGCTGAACGAACGAAGGAACCTTTTTGTGGAAAAGTCTCCCGCGGTTTTGCGAATGCGAATTTGCTTTTAAATTAGTTCACGAATCTGCGTTTTGCAAACCGCAAGGAAAGAAACAATGGTGGTGGTGTCTGATAACTCTCGCCAATCTCTTCTCCCTAGCTTCCTCTATTCTTCCACTCCTTCTTCGACCAAACGTCTTCTGTGTTTGGACTCCGATCATAATCATCATGCGCTGCCTCGATCGCCGTCCGTTACGTCGTCGAACGGTATCGTAGCGGCGAGAGGGAGCAGATTTGTGGTAGCGTCGCCCAAGGAAGGGGGGATCGAAATGTTCTCTCCGGCATTTTACGCCGCGTGTACCGTCGGCGGGCTGCTGTGCTGCGGCCTCACTCACACCGCCGTCACGCCGATGGATCTCGTCAAGTGTAATATGCAGGTAATTTCCATTTTCTTCCTTTACTTAATCTCTGATTATTCCCATAATTCATTTTATATGATAGAATTCACGATCTGTGTTTCTTCTAATATCGAATATTCGAATTCGTTGTTCATCAGAAGAAATGATGGATTGATTAAATGCCCTTAAACTTGTTTGCTTGGGATTTGAGGATTGTTTGGTTGGCTTTTGCCTCCTGAAGCTTTGGAATCACTTTGTTTGTCTCTTTCTTCATCTCTTATCATTGAGATTTGGAAGAAGATGTTATTAGGTCATTCGATTAAATGACGGTTGACCGAACCGAATTATCATTAACTGAATTAATCGATTTTTTTCTTTAACCGTCAACTGAACCAATTTTTTTTGAAAATATTAATCGAACCGAATAAATTTCGGTTAATTTTCGAATTAACTGAATTTATTTTTAAATTTTCCAATTTATATAAAAATTGAATATTTTTAATTCAAAAAACAATTTACAATTATATTAAATAATATATAATTATAAAATAAAAATTTTATATGGATTTTTTTAATTAATTAATATTGATTTAGGTTTAAAAGTTATTGGATCTTAAATTATTAATTGAGTTTTAAATAGTTTGGGTTGAACCCATATGTTATATATAATATATTTAAAATTTAATTTCAGTTAATTCCGTTAATTTGGTTAATTAACCGATTTCGAAACAAATTAACCGTTAACCGAATTCTAAAAAATATATTAACCGTTGCCCGACCGAACTAATTCGGTAGCCTACCGAATTAACCAAACTATTCAGTTCGGTCGATTAATTCGATTAAAACCAAAAAATAAACAGCCTGATGTTATGAGATTAAAAATTCGAAAAAAATCTAAAAAATTAAGATAAAAAATTAAAAAGGAAAATTTCAAAGGTAATATCATAGAGTAGGTGTTCTTGTATCTCCGAGTTGAATATTCATTACAAATATTGAAGAATAAAAGTAAATTAATTAATGCTAATGGCGTTGAAATTCACAGATTGACCCAGCAAAGTACAAGAACATCACATCCGGGTTTGGAGTGCTGCTAAAGGAGCAAGGAGCTAGAGGGCTATACAAGGGTTGGGCCCCAACGCTGTTGGGTTACAGTGCTCAAGGTGCTTTCAAATATGGCTTCTACGAGTACTTCAAGAAGTACTATTCCGACATCGCTGGACCGGAATATGCAGCCAAATACAAAACCCTCATATATCTCGCCGGTTCGGCATCAGCCGAGGTGATTGCCGATGTGGCTCTTTGCCCCATGGAGGCCGTCAAAGTCCGAGTGCAAACTCAACCCGGGTTTGCCAAAGGTTTATCGGATGGATTACCCAAGATCGTGAAATCCGAAGGCGTTGCCGGGTATGTTATCTCTCTATAATGCATTTTTTTACTAGTAGGAAGAAAGTGATTACAAGATAGTATTTATTCGAATAACTTTCGATCATTTGACAATAAATGTTCAAATGCACTTGTAAATTTAGAGGTGGCAAAAGGATCATTCGGATCGGGTTCGGTTTGGGTCATTTCAGTTTAGATTTAATTTGGGTCATTTCGGGTTTCAGTTTTATTCGGGTCTATAGTAAGTCGGGTTGAGTCGGGTCAGGTCAATAACGGATCGGTTGATTTCTGGTCGGATCAAATCAGATATGTTGATTGTCGGGTCAAGTCAATATCCGATCAATTATTTTCGGTTTGGGTCAACTTTGGATCTTCAGGTCAATCCAGATTGAGTTGGGTATAAGTCAAATTAAGTGTATATAAAATTATCGATATATTTTTGTAAAAAAGATCGGGTTTGGGTAAATTAAATTCAGGTTAATTTTGGTTTAGGTTATTTTTAGTTCGATTGCTTTCGGTTGGGGTTACTTTCGGTTTGGTTAAACTCAAAACGGTTTCTGTTCGATTCAAGTTACTTTCAGTTCGTGTTACTTTCGGTTTAGCTAAAATTCGGGTCGGTTTCGGTTTGATTCTATTTTTCAAGTTAAATTTTGGTCATTATGTTCGGATATATTTTGGATCACGATTCGAGTAAATCAATTCGAGTAATTGGATTCGGTCAAATTGTCAGTTATATGCTCGACCCAGAGCCTCTATAATGCACTTTAAATTGGCTTATATCACACATGTTTATATGATCTTGCTTGTTCCTATAGGTTGTACAAAGGACTAGTTCCACTTTGGGGTCGACAGATTCCATGTAAGCCAACTAAATTTATTTACGTTTTGTTAGATATAAATAGGGTAATATACACAAATGGTCTTCAATTATAAGATATTATTTTATTGAGTTTTTTAACTATTAAAAGTTACAAAATAATCCTCCGATTATAGAGAGTTGTTTTGTTGAGTTCCTAGACAATTAAAAATTACAGAATGATCATCTAACTATTCATTATGTTTTAAACTCGTCATTTTCTATTAAAAAATTAATGATCATTTGAGTTGAACATTAACATATTGATTAAGATATGATAGTCATTCAAAATTATACGATCATATTTTATCATATCTTAGTCAGTAGGTCAACGTTCAACGCAGATTGCCATAAATTGTTTAACTGAAAAATACGAGTTTGGAACATAATGAATAGTCAGATGATATAATTTTTAATAGTCGAATGGACTCAGTAAAACGGTATCCTATAATCGAGGGATCATTTGTGTATTTTACCCGAATAAATATATGTTTGGAGATTTGGAGTGAAATAAATTTGTTTGTATTTGCAGATACAATGATGAAATTCGCGTCGTTTGAAACAATTGTTGAGATGATGTACAAGTATTCGATCCCAACACCGAAAGAGCAGTGCAGTACATCGGTGCAGCTTGGGGTGAGCTTCGTTGGTGGATACATTGCTGGTGTTTTCTGTGCTGTCGTATCACATCCGGCTGACAACCTCGTCTCTTTTCTCAACAATGCCAAAGGCGCAACCGTTGGTGATGTAAGTAGATACTACCTGGGTATTATATTACGCGTAACCGACTCTTGAACTCGATTTTAATCTTAATGTTAGAGGCATACTAAATCAACTTTTGACTAACTTTTCAAGGACTCAATAATCTTAGAACCACGATTTAGTTCAATAGTTAGAGGAATATTTTTTATTTTTAGAGATCTCGAATTTGAGTACCAATAATTATAACGATGATTGAGCGTTTATTATCAAATGGTCGAGAATACTAAGAAAAAGGAGGTGAGATGACCTATATATTAACTTTGCAGGCAGTGAAGAGGCTTGGACTGTGGGTCTTTTTACTCGTGGCCTTCCCCTTCGTATTCTAATGATCGGAACCCTTACCGGAGCCCAATGGGGAATCTATGATTCATTTAAAGTTTTCGTTGGCTTGTAAGTATTCTCCTTCTAAATTTTGCTTTAACTTCTTGTGCTTGGAGATCGGAAACTCAACGTATTCAATCTTTCATTGTTTTTATTTTCAGGCCAACCACCGGCGGTGCTGCGCCTATTCCGGCCACTGCTGAGGCATGAAGGAGATATAATTCATTTCAAAGAAGATGATACCTTTTAGTAGTTCAAGTTTTTAAAGGGATTCCCTTTTAGTTATTGGTAGAGCAATAATAGGGTTGATCAATGCCCACAAAATCAGAGCATTATTTGTCGTTTGGGGCCTGTTCTCTTTCTTTGGCAGGCATGATTACTTGATCCAAGCTTTGTGCATGTCTATTTCAGTTGTGTGCGTTTGGTGTTCTCTAGTTCATGTGAATTTTCAAACAATAAAAAACAAAACAAACATAACGTAATTCGTTCAAACTCGATTCATTAATACCCCTAACTTTACGTCTCGGATTTTAATCACTATCATTTATCATCTTCAGGGTTTCAAATCGCGGTCACCATCGCGTTTTCGGTCATTTTGAGTTTACCATGATTGTGACCATCGCGGGCGTTATTGCAGCCGTCGCGGGTGCTATTGGGCGCTATTGCAGGCGTTGCAAGTAACTCGGACGGCGACAAATCGCTATTTCGTTGACGAAATCACGTTTTCGAACCGTGATTTGAAACCCTGATCATCGTTTCAAAAATTAAACGAGTTGAATCGCTATCATCGTTCCAAAAACTCAAGAGTTTGGTTCCAAAATGAAAGTATCATTTTTGAGCTACATTTGCCTCCTCTTTCTCCCCCTTCCTTCTCCTAAAATCTAGGTTGAAAATCTCAGTTTCAACGCCATTACAACCTATCAAGCTACCCCAACCGGCCAACTCCAGTCCTGTTGCCATGTTGTATCCTACTCACAGCCGTCGCCTCCAGACCGTACAGCATAATTCCATTACGCAATCTCCACTCCGATAATCCCTGTCTAGAGTATCGTGAAGTACATGGCAGAGTCGGTATATAATGAGGGGTGTCATTTGGTGACCTTATTATTGTATACTACGCTTTCATTTTTTAAATTACGACACTGAAATTTAAAATTTCTGGCTTCGTCCCTGCTGAAATATGCACCGTCGTACCGGTTTTAGACGCTGTAGATGGCGTCCGAAAGCTACCATTTGTCCATTGGCTTCCTTCCATGGACCTTGTCGATTGGTTGGCTCTGTTCTTCGGTTTCCATGAACCTTGTTCTTCGCTTCGTCAACGCGCAAATGTGCCGCTCTCATCCGGCCGACAACGTCGGAATATACTCATCCGAGAGTTTCGGCGTCAGCTCTAACTTCGGTTCCGACAGTACTCGTGGAGATTTGCTTGACGTTGGACTTTATTTGTTGATACGGGTGAGAATCTGCGAATTTGAGGTTCATGCATGAATGCACCTGCGGCATTTTTCATCACATTGGAGAAATTATGCTTTTATGTCCCAGTACTATGAGAGTCTTCTGGGAATGCAGAAATGCAAATGCTCTTAACGAACCACGGTTACTCACCCTAGGAGAAAGGGACGATGGTGGTGGTGTCTGATAAGTGTCGCCAATCTCTTCTTCCCATCTTCCTCTATCACCATCATCATCATCATGATGTGCAGCCTCCATCATCATCATGATATGCGGCATTTCATATTACGATTGTTTCTTACAAAATAAAAAAAATTAAACATTTAAAATTAAGTTTTCTTCTCACATGTGTATAGTAAAAAAAACATTGGGATAGTTCAAAGTGTGAGGTCCCAAATTTTGAGATCCTTTGATGTGTCACAAGTTATACTTATTAATTGACGTTTGAATCAAATGACATATATCAAGTATGGATATGTAACATAAAA